GGGAAAATAACATAATTTACCGTAACTTTTGAACCGTAATTTTTACAGAAATGAAATTTGTACCATTTTTTCAGAATTTAAAGGGCTACAACATACTAAATTTTTATCAAAATCGTTTGGGCCATTTTTGAGAAAATCCGATTTTTCCGGTTTTATATGGGTTTTTATGGGAAAATCCCCATTAAAAATCAAAATTTCAAAAAAATAAAAAAACGCCTGGAGATACCATGGATTAGAACCTACATACCAAATTTCATCGAAATCGGACCACAGGTGTAGTCTCTAGCTCTGTACACATCCAGACACACAGACACACAGACACACAGACACACAGACACACACACACACACACACACACAGACATCACTTCGAAAACCACTTTTTTGGGTCCAGGGGGACCCAAAACGAATATATTCACTCAAAACTCAAAACTCGAAAATTTTGACGAAAACAATACTTTCTCCATATACTATGGTATAGGGGGAGAAAGTAATACAGTACGGTACCACCAAAGCTTTAATCTATACCATAGACTAAGCAATGATTTATCTATGTCTATACATAGACTAGTAGTAATTTCTTGACACAATTTGTAAAATAATCCAGTTTAATTAAATTCAATGACATAATTAAAAATATAAACCCAGTAATTAATAATATTAATATTTCATATTTTATTAGGCATATAACGTGTTATAGAATCGAATACATTCTAAAACAGATAATTCCCAACTATTGATAAGATCGATTAGGATAACTTGATGAAAAATTCATCATAGCAATCGATTTAAACCGGTTGAATCGAATATGATGGTTTGGCCATAGTATGTAATGAACTCTTTTTGCCAAATTTTGAAGTTTTTTTCATGTTTTTAGTAAAATTTCCATGGTTATGCTAACTTTTACGTTTACCCTAAAATTACCCTAAATCTACCATTACCCTAAACTTTACCCTAAGACCAGTAAATTACCCTAAAAAAGGGTAATTACCCTAAAAGTGGCAACACTCGACTGGCTGTTTCTGTTTCGTAAGTTTCGTTTCCAGTGTTTCACTGTCTTATTTCACGATTCATTTCTGATCATTTTTTTCAATGGCAGCTAGGATAGGATGGAATAATTTTGAGGAACTGAGGTTAACTGAATACAATGATTTTATTTGGCCAATCAACAACCCAACAATATTTTTTAATGATATTCCATAGTGCCGGCTGCACAATTTGTTTTTCAGGATTAATTTTGCCAACAGTGTCATTTAGAGGCTTCTGATTGACTATAACGAAGGTTTAGTAATTGAAAAATTATTTTTGTTCATAGAATAAAATTATAAATGCCTCAAATTCAATTTTATATTTTTTATTATGAAATTAAACCGTCATAACCTAACCTAACCAACCAAACGTGCTGACAATGGAAAAATCTAATGAAGGTTTATTAATCGAAAAAAATAGTTCTGTTCATAAAATAAAATTATAAATGCCTCAAATCCTATTTTATATTTTTTTATTCTAAAATTAAACTATCATAACCTAACCAAACCTGCTTATAATGAAAAATCAAATGAAGGTTTAACCGAAAAAAAAAAATTTCTGTTCATAAAATAAAACTATAAATGGGTCAAATTCAATTTCATAATGTTTTAATTATAAAATTAAACCGTTATAACCTAACCAAACCAACCAAACTTGTTGATAATGAAAAAAATCCAATACAAAAAAATAGTGCTACGGGAGGAGTTCGAACCCGGGTCCTTCGGATCATCAGCCCAGCACTCTTTCCACTACACCACCAAGGCCGTTGGCATCAACCGTATCGTCGCGGTGCGGCGGTAATGATGTTCTCTCAGCCAATCAGAAGCCTCAAAATAATACTGTAGGCAACACTAATCCTGAAATAAAAATTCAGCGTGCCGGCTCCCCTGCTTCGCCGTAGTTACGGTGATATCCGACCTATTCTGATTAGTCTGAACTCTGAAGCGGGAGGATCGAGCATCAGTTGTTGAAAGGTTTTATTTTATTTTATTATATTTTGCTTCCAACGGTCCAAACAAACCAATTTACAATTATTATTTTTATAATGCTTACTCAATGTTCCTATAACTAAGGGTCAAGCCAAACATGCAAAGGGGTCTAAGATTCTACTTAATAGAGGGAACTACTTGACAACAAGAACAACAAACTAAAATCTGAGCAATGTTGACCAACAATGATAAATCTTTGATATAATTAACATCCCAGACAGCACAAGGATATTTTATAAATATTTTTTTATATATATATTTAAAATATTTTTTACATTTTAATATTATTTTTAAAATATATTTTTTTAATTTTTTTATAATATTTTAACATAATAGTTTTAAAATATTTTAAAATGATTAAAACTAATATGAATATGAAGTGATGATAATGAATATGAACATGAACAAATAACATGAACATGAACATGAATAAATAAATAATATGAATATGAATATGATGATATGATAATATGAATGGTTTTAAAAATATATTTTGTAAATATTTTCTATTTATCAGTTTAATATATTTACAAAATATTTTTAATATATTAAGACAAAATAATTTAGTTTTTTATGAAAAAGATATTTTTAAAATATTTTAGTAACCAAAAAGTATAGCTTTTAAGAATGTTTTTATAGAATTGTAACTGTAAAAATATTTTTTAAAACCCTTTTTAACACCTCTATAAAGAATATTATAGAAATATTTTATAAATAGCCCGTTTAAGTTTTAAAAATTTATTTTGGTAATTTGTTTCATGGAGCTGGGTAAAATATATTTCCCACACATTTTTTAAAAATATATTTTGACAACAAATTTCTTGTTCCTTAAAGAATTGTTTTAGGGCCATGATTAAAGACTTTTTTAAATAATTAAAGTAGCCTATACTAAAACTCGCATGTATATTAATTAAAGTAGTCTTAAAAATCACTCCAAAAATATTTCCTTTTTTCCCAAACAGTTAAACAAAATGTTTAGTCTATCTTTTAAAAGTAAACTTTTAACATACCGGTACCGGATGTCCGCCCAAGTAGCACACATTGTTATGGTTGGCCCAACGTTGGGAAATGGTCGGCACACGGTTATGGGATCCATAGTAAATTGGATCTATAATAAATTGGATCCATAATAAAATAATGTAGTCAGATGATGTTGTGATAGTTGTGCCCTACTAGATACAGTGGGGAACACCTGCTTAACATAGAACAATGATAATAATTATAATAATGCTTTTTTTTAATGGATATTCTTTAAGTTATTTGAGTTTATTTTTATTAGTTGAACAATTTAAGGAGAAAGATTAACTAATGTTATAATAATAAATTGTAATAACATTACTAAGATAATTGTAATTAAATAATCTTTATTCAAATACCAGTATCCTCTCCAACTCCCAGAAAAACAATTCATCTACTTGATGCCCAAACAGATTACCAGAATCATATTATATACTGTAGTATCAAAAATATTTTAAGTACTGCAACCATTGCAACTGTCGGCTTCTCTTTGACCTCTTGAAAACCCTCAAGACCAACAAACACAGATAGCTTAGAGGTAAGGTAGGAGGCTCATAAGTGGAAGATACCAGGTCCGAGATCAGTCCGGGATGAAAAATTTTGTTCTAGTTTTTTTTTAAATTTGTTTTTATGAACTATTTAATCAATTTACTCGACTAATAATTAGCCTTTTCATACTAAATCTTTATTATTTAAAATATTTAAATAAATCTTTTAATAATTGTTAATAACATTTATAAAATATTAAAACAAAATATTTTATTAAAATATTTTTAGGATACATTAGGGGTGATATAGTATGCATTTTTAAAATATACTTTAAAAATTAAAAAAATATATTTTTAAAATATCCTGTGCTGTCTGGGATTGAATTAGCGGGAACAAGTGAATTAAAAATAGCTGCACTTGGCAAAATTAAATGCGTTTGCATTAGGTAAATAATATTTGGACGGCTATATGCATAAGTGGACCAAGTGCCACTATGTTTAAACAGTGGTTAAAACAGAGATATTGAGAGTCAAGGTATGTGGTTTTACTCAATAAGTATGTGTTTGGGCTCGACGAGCTTGTGGATTCCATGTAAAAGAGCCAACCAGCTGCTGGGCTTCCTTTTTCGGGCTACCCGTGGACTAACAAATGCCATCACTCTCAAGAGAGAGAGAGAGAGAGAGAGAGAGAGAGAGAGAGAGAGAGAGAGAGAGAGAGAGAAATACTTTATTGTTAAAAAATCAAGACTCTGTATTGTTCCCTTATACGACAGCTGTTGGAGTACGCCAGCCCAGTTTGGCCACCCGGCTTCCATCTAGGGCCCATCAACAAACTCGAAGGTATCCAGAAGAAATACATCAGATTTCTCTGTTTCCGTCAAGGCATGCAGTACCGTGAAGTCCCAGCGACCGTCTTCTAAAACAATTTAAACCTGCTAGATCTTCACTTGAGACGCTATGTGGCAGACGTTGATTTCCTTATTCACAAACTTCTCATTGACCAAATTGACTGCCCCGCTTTACTTGCCCAAGTGGACCTCCGTGTGCCTTCTAGAACCCGTTCACAAGGCTTGTTAAACTCTTAAAATGTTTATTTATTTATCTGTTGTTTATGTGGCGTTCCCATCTCAATGATTGATAATTGATTGTAATATATGGTCTTTGGCCGTTGGAATGGAAATAAATAAATAAATAGAAAACAAATCAAATCAGACTCAATAACTCAACTTTTTTATGGGGGGTCGCATGCATGAATTCCAATTATTTCGTAAGTGTTATGCGTTATGGTTGCTACAACAAATAAAATTCCTTATAATCCCTTTTAATAACTATACCGGATTTTATATACACTATTAACGATATTCGAAGAACAGTTTTTTAAGTTTGCCTGTCTTTTGTCAAGTAGTTGCAAGAGTACCCAGTAGATGGCATTATTGTATTTACCAGTAAAAGTTCATTAATTTGCGTGTTCTGTCTACACAAGCACAAGCCACAAACGTTTATGATTTTTTTCTGTAGTAGTAAACATTTGGGCGTGACAAGTAGTTAAAAGTGCAGATTTTAAGAGCCAGTATTGTTATTTTAAGTTAAATGAAGCAGATTTAGTACTTGTATTGTTGATAGAACAAGCCGTAAATTCGTTTAGTTGAAAAATGACGGAATACAAACTTGTTGTTGTTGGTGGTAAGTACCCATCACAAGGAGCAATAATCCAATGACTCATTTGTATTATAGGCCTATGTAGGCTCTTTGTTATGGAAATGTAGCCTATATTGCATAAATTTGGATTATTCTTTAATTTAAATGTCTTCACACCGCAGTTTGATTATTATGAAAATATTTTTGGGACAAACTTTCAGTAAGGTCAAGCCAGAATGTGTGTCTGTTGAGGTCTCTTAATTTTCCCAGTTGTCTCAATATCTCAGCCTTGGTTGCGGGTAACTATTGATAAATAGAAGAGTTTGCCTAAGACCTGTGTATTGGTTCACACATCACATCAACAATATAGGCCCTAACTAGGCTATCTTTTGTCCTAATGTGTATTGTGTAGAAGGCTTTCAACTACAGGCTAGGCCTATAACTTGTCATATGTTACCAAAAGGCTAACAATGTTCATCTCCAGTTTGTGAAAAAGTTATTAGATTTAGGCCTACACATTGTATAACTTGCAGTAGGCTAGTTAAATTAACTTAGGCCTAATTAAACAAAAATTTTTGGGTACAACCACATTAAAAGTCCATGAAGGGTTAAAAAAGGCCATATAGCCTAGGCTAGGCTACCTAGCCGATAATCTTTTAACTTGTTGCATTTTACAGAAAATGATTATTTTTTGTAAATTTCACAAACGCTTGTTGGCAACACTGTTTACTTGGGGGATTCCATTACCTCAATACCTTCCCCCCTTTTCCTCCCCTATCTGTTGATATATTGTTTGTTCATTATGCGTGGGTGCCGTGACCTTGACAGGTTGTCTGTTCATATCATGCTCGTCTCAGAAGCCCAGCGTTAGTGTATTTTAAAGCGGGGCCTCACAGGCCCAGGGTTTTGGTTTGTGTGTTTTTAAGTAGGTTCCATTATTTTCAAATGGATCAATCAACCATTATTACTAGGCATAGTCTTCTTGTTGTTATTAATTGTAGTTTTTAGGTCCCACTCATGTATTTATTGCCAGCTTCCTTATTTATTATTATTGCACGATTTTTGTAACCACTGATATTAACTTATTATTTGCTACTTATGTATAGGCTAGTTCATAGTTCGAAAAAATTGTATTAATGGAGAAACCGTTGGAATAAATAAATAAATAAAAAAATGAGGTCTCACAGACCGGGGGTTTCAGTTAGTGTCAGCCTGGGTAGGCTTTCTGTATTAGTGTTAGGTTAAGCTGGGCATTCTCCTTAAGTTGCACCATTAAGTTTGACTTAAGGCAGAGCATAAAAATCTACCACAATAACCTAGTGCCCGATGTGTTTATGCAAAGAGAAAAAAAGCTGCAAAGTATCTGACCTACACTCATTTGAATGAATATGTCGATCGATATATCTATTCTTTGATTATTTCATTCGGTTATTTAGGTTAGGTTAACCTAACTAACTAAACTTAATGTAGGCCTATGTCGAACCCGGTTACCATCAAGAGAGTAGTCAGCTAGGTAACACTGTATTTAATTTCCTGCTGAACGTGATCAATTTGGTTTTTGTGGGATACCTTAAAAGTAAAAGTAAAACTAAAGTAAGGCTTTTACATTATAGTTGCCTGATAGTTTATAGTTTTGTAAACCAAATATGTTTTATATGCCTTTTTAATTAGAAAGAAAAATGTTTGATATATCGTAGGTTCTCTGTGGAAGTCTACCCTGAATAAGTTATGTTTTATAGTTCAATTAAGTTAATATTATTTTGCAATAACTAATAGGCCTATTTCATATCAGGGTAATTTGGTATTATTGTGACCACACCTAAATTGGTTACCCTTGGTAAGGTAAGTTGGTAAGGTTATCTTATCCTACTAACTTAACCTAACCTAGGTGTGGTAACCTAACCCAAATTAGGTGTGGTCGGTGTAATACCATAGTACCCATATTATCAGCCATTTAAATGGAAGACCATAGCTATACAGTATTTTGAAAGGTCTTTGGAATCAAGCATCTTTTCTATTTCAGCTGGAGGTGTTGGTAAGAGTGCCTTGACGATCCAGCTTATCCAAAATCAGTGAGTACTAAAAAAAAATAATAGTACTAGACCGTGTTAAAAAAACCCTTGATTTAAATAAATATTAGGCTGTTTTGCTAAGTAGCAAAGAGTAACAAACCTAGTAAAACTTGCATAATATATTTTTCAGTTTAATAATATTATTCCATATCCATTTGTTCAGTTAGTAGCCTACTATTTTCTTTATTTCCGTTAATTCGCCACCTGATATGCTAGGTTTACCATAAGTTATCGGTAAGATTATGTTAGACAAAGCCAAACATGAACGGTAAAAAAGATAGACCTAAAACGTAGATATTAAGTTAATTTGGTGGTGAATTAAAAGAAAATGATCTGTATTTTTGTATAACATGTTTGACCTAATTATCAATTAACTTACACTTCAATGAAATTGCTTTGCTTTAGGCTAAATGATTTAAAAAACAATTAGGCTTTTCTGTTTTTTAAAGTACCTCTTTTGTTGCAGCTTCGTGGATGAATATGATCCCACAATTGGTAAGTAAACAAGAGGTTTTTATTGCTACAAAATAAACATGTTTAACCTCTGGATCACGTTTTTATAAATAATAAAAATGTGAAATGCTTGTTGTACTGTCGGTGATCCGTATTTATTCAGCGACCAAGGTTTCCTACCTTAAAAGTTCATTTTCAATCTTACAACCAAGTAAAAAATTCTCTTGATCCCTGAGGCTGTGCAGAGTCGTCAAATAGGTAACACTTAAATACGAACACAAAAGCATGGCAACCCATAAGATCCATGTTAATTTTTCAAAATTTTCAATTCATTTTTTGTGTTTATTTTTTTAGCCTAGATTTTAATTTACAAAGGGATTCTGCACATCTACAGGAAAATATCTTTCCAACGAACAGGATGCGCAGTTTTTCCCTGCGATGCACACAAGCTGAGAAAAAAGGTTTTTTAAAGAAACATGCTTGCCTGCCATAAGATCCATGTTAATTTTTAAAAATTTTAAATTCATTTTTTGTGTTTTTTTTTAGCCTATTTTAATTTGAAAAGGGATTCCGCACATCTACAGGAAAATATCTTTCAGGGTTGCCACCAGCCATGAAAACCTTGAAAAGCTTGAATTATGCATGAATTCTTGTGACCATGAAAAAAGGCATGGATTATGCATGGATTTCTCAAATGGACCATGAATTTTCAAAATCAGGAACAATTATTCAACCAGTACCATTAAATTTTCCAAATAAAAAATATTTCATATTTAATAACGGTTTGTAGAAACGAACACCATGAAAATACTGTGTAGGAGATGATTATTTAACATGTTCCACGGTCAGAAACAATTGCTTAGCCTATTTCATTTCAAGTCATTCAAAGATGCTGATGTCAGCTGAGACTTCCCAAGGACTGTAGCCTATATGGTTCGAAAAATCATTAGTAGGCCAACCCCTGCGTATGAAAAAGGGGTATGGGGACTTCAATCACAAAAACAGTTAGACCATGCACGGAATTTAAAAGGGGTGCGCAATAAAACCGAATTTCCGACTCTGACGCCTGATTTTTTTAGCTTTTTGGATAAAACCACCTTATCTTGGTACGTTGTGGAATAAGATAAACCAGAATGCACATTTTATGACAATTATGTAGGGGGATAAAACTGGATGAATCAGGACTTTTTTGGCTGGGTGAGGAATTTTTGTTTTATTCCGGTGGTAAGACTGATAGGCCTATAGACCTAGACTTAATATATTTTACAATACTTCTCCAATATCTCATATAGAATATGGACCAGTTTTGTTGTCAACTTTGTTTTGAATGTTTATAAATCACTCTAAAAATTTTTATATTAAGTATGAAAGGTTATTCAAAAGTAACACACAAAGAAACTGCCTCTTTAATGTCAGTTTATGAAATCAGCAAAACTCAATTGTGTTGAATTTGTATAAGCGCATTGACCATGAATTTTTTGTAAACTACCAATGAAAACCATGAATTCTGCATGAATTTTATCATCCCACTGTGGTGGCAACCCTGTCTTTCCATCCAACAGGATGCGCAGACTTTCCCTGCGATGCACACAAGCTGAGAAAAAAGGTTTTAAAGAAACATGCTTTCCTATTAATATATAGATGTCAAATGTTGTAGTCGTTATAAATTTTACCATATTAACTTATACTTTCCTATGGTTGCCATTTTAGTTAAAAGTATTAAAAGTATAATTGATGTTTCAGAGGACTCGTATCGTAAGCAGGTTGTAATAGACGGAGAAACTTGCCTGTTGGACATTCTGGACACAGCAGGACAAGAAGAATATAGGTGAGTGTGCAAAGAGTTTGCCTCGTAAACAGAAGGTCGTTGGTTCAATCCTGAGGAAATGCTGTAGCTTTTAGATGGATCAAAGCATAGAATAACCATCCACAGGTAGACTACTCATCCCATTGTAAATTTTGAAGTTTTTTTTTCGTGTCTAGTTCACGTCCGGTGACACAGGGCGTTAGAAATTTTGTTTCTATTATTTTAGAGTTAATATCATGATTAGTGCTTAACTCTTTGGTTCTATAACTAGGAGAAGAGTTATTATTCATGATTATATAGTTTTATTTAGTCAAACGAGGTTTTAAATGGAGGAAATAACAAGAAACAAATTGTAAGCAAAACTCAACCTCTACAGTGCACCGGATAGAACTAACAATAAAATTAGCTTCAGCTGTTCCATAAGGATGAGAAATCTACTGAGGGAGTATGTTTGATCTATGATCAAAGTTAGACCTAACTGTCCTTATTTGTTATGCTAAAGAATGTCCTAATCTTAATCAGTGACTATGTTATTCATAAATTCATTCATTATTATTAAACCATTCCCACCTAAAGACAAGCGGTGCCCGTCCTACCGCTTTATGTATTATTATTATTTTATTTTTTAAATTCTTTTTGTGTTTCTACGCTAGTGGATACAATATATATAATATTGTATTATAACTATATAATATAATAATTCTCCTTTTATTTCAAGACTCACAACACCATAACACAATGCAACAATGCAATTTTGATGAAAAGTGTGTTTACACAATATTTCAGCACGTAGTACATTGTTATAAACACGACTCTTAATATTCGTAAATATATTCGATGTAAATATATTCGTAAATATTCGGCAAATATTCGTACATGAGTATTAAGGGAACAGTGGAGGGAGAGAACGAAGCCTCACTCTCCCTTCCCCCACCACCGCCTTGGCCCTAGGAGGTGCCGTCGCGTAGTTCAAGGCCAATGCTCAACAAGTCAAGATGGCGGACACTAATGTTTTTAGTATCGAAGAGCATTTAATTGCTACCGTGTGTGTTTATATTAGGCTTTGGATTATTAGAGGTAGAGTTTGAACAGTAAAGTTGTGACATAAATTTTTCAATATCAATAATTATACAGCGATTCACGGTACCGTAATGATAAACTAATCCTTATTAAATTTCCTCCAAATATTATCTTTCATAAATCTACTAGGTGAGTTATATCTATAACATTACAAAATGCCTTAAAACTTTATTAAGTAAAACAAATGAAGAATAATTTTAAAAAATTCAAAAGGATCTTTAGTAGTGCTAAGGAATTTCCTATTTTGTAAAATAGATTATTACATTTAATTACAGTACCAATAGTACCATACATTTAATATGTATGTGAAATTAAATTTCTAAACTGCTATTAAAATTAAAACATGGAAATCTCATGTGAGGTTATGTGATCAGAAAGTTATAGCATAGATAAGCATAGATAAATCATACTCCCTTAGTAGATTTGTCATCCTTATGGAACAGCTGAAGCCAATTTTGTTGTTAGTTCAGTACGTCCAACTGTAGAGGTTATGTTTTGTTTACAATTTGTTTCTTGTTATTTCAGTCATTTAAAACCTCATTTAACCAAATAAGACGATTTAATCATAAACAATAACTGGTCTCCTAGTTATATAACCAAATAATAAAGCACAAATCATGAAAATAACACTAAAATAATAGAAACAAAAGTTTGTCTACCCCAGCGATCACTGTGAACGTACATGAACTAGACACAAAAAACAAGCTTCAAAATTTATAATGGGATGAGGAGTCTACTTGTGTTGCTTAGTCTATGGTTATAGGTTTAGCAGACATACAATTAACAATCCTAATGTTTACTTAACCTCTATAATAAGACCCTCGATAACAAATTACCCTTAATAACAAGTATCTTTTTCAAATACCCTTAATTTTACATCAGCTCTGATCAAATGTGCAAAACTCCTTGAGAAGCCTGTCTTGACATAAAGTTATTTATGATCCCCAAGAGAATTGTTATCGAGTTTCTACTGCAATTCCATTATTATAGTGATAGGTTTCAAAATGACTTCTCTATTTTGGAAAAACTTTTTTACTAGTTATTTTAAACAAGCTCTTCCTAGCTCGTCACAAGTATATTTCTGGCACATACTAGAGCTGAAAGCGCACAATAGTCCAACTAGTAGGTTTCCTCTGTACTTTACTCCATGTAATAGCACACAGATAGGTCACAATACAGTAGCGTGTGCTATACTGCCTGAACCTCTTGTAGGCCAATAGGCAACAGAAACATGTGTATTTAAATAATCCCAGACAATATTCATGTGCCATTAAGGACAGTTATGTTTAATTTCTTTCTTCCTTATATTCCTAAGCTAATTGCTTTTTACAAAAAAACAAAAAATACACATTTCAAATAAAATATCGCCACTCTCTGATTAATGGTATTTTGGTTTCAGTGCAATGAGGGACCAGTACATGAGAACAGGAGAAGGCTTTCTATTGGTGTTTGCAATAAATAACGCCAAATCATTCGAAGACATCAGCAATTATAGGGAACAGATTAAAAGAGTAAAGGACGCGGAAGAGGTGCCTATGGTTTGTAAGTATCGCCTGGCAATGTTTCACTTAGTAGTGTCCTAGTTCAATCGTAGTTCTTGAATATTTATTGTGTCTTTATCGAGAATCACAATCAATTCGCAATCGTCACTCGGGACTACAATAATGCAGTGGACATAGTTTAAACGACCTCTACGGTCAAGGATACCAAATATTAATTTTTAGCCCCTACCGGTACTAGACGTACTGGAATTTGATACCAGCCTACCACTTAATTTTAATTTTAAAATTTCTTTTGACAAGAAGTCAATATACTGACCATTGTTTTTGTGTCAACTGAAATAATCGTAGTTTAAAAGTCAGAAACCTGAGTATTTCTTTAAGCCCTTCAAGTCACCATTGCTGGACCAATCTTCCAGGATCATAGTTTTGTTAAAGCTCCCTTTTTTTGATTTTCAGAGATTCTTTCTTCTATTTATATCCTGTAGTAACCCTCTTATTACATTTTAATCCAATGAATAGTATTTTCCTTCACTAGAGGTCTTTCTCAGTTTTAATCTTAACTCTTCTTTTAAATATTATCCAACTGGTAAAAAGAACTTGTTTCAACTTTCAATGTCCAAAATTTGACAACTGCTATGAATAAGAACTTAGAAGTTGTTTGTTATAAGCTGGTTCCTGGAGGAGTTTCTACTGGTTGGTTCAGCGTGAGATTATTTTACACTAAGTGGACTTCATTCTAAACCATTTGTAGGGCTTGAAATGTAATTTAGTTTAATGAAGCGTTGTTTAGGTGACTTTGTTATTGTACACCAACAACAGACTCCTACAGTTGGTTTATTGTGAGTTTGTTGTTAAACAGTAGTGGGCAACAAATGTGATCTGCCGACCCGGGCGGTGGAGATCTCGACAGCGCAGGACGTCGCACGAAGCTACGGTATCCCGTTTGTAGAGACATCGGCCAAAACACGACAAGGCGTTGATGATGCTTTCTACACACTAGTACGGGAAATTAGGAAAGATGTGAGTACAACAGTTATAAACTTCTTATTTTGTAAGAATATTTTGCAATAAGTGAGCTTAGAAGAAGTTAATTAAAACCACCCAGTGGTACATAGTTTTAGTAAATGAGAAAAACCTATGCATTTCCCTCATTCCTTCTTGATGATTCACTTCATACATGATCTAAGACGATAACATTAAGGATATAAGGGAAAATTTATTGTAAATCAATGTGTCATAGCAGAAAGTATTCTCAATTAAATCATTTACGTATTTTGATCATACAAAATTAACATTTATTTTACAAATTAGCTTTAGTTTTTTAGTTTAACACAATCACCACTGAGTGTCAGTAGACTGCACATACAAAGGAGTTGACAGCTGTTATTGAACCTGTTAAAAACATTGTATGCTTTCATTTTAACTATTAACAAATCTTGTATGATTAATCTGTTTTAAAACTTTTTACATAATAATTTTTAACCTGTGGTCAAATCTTTATATGTTTCAATCTGCAATGTAGCCTTGAAACTGAAGTTACTTGTCCCATTTTACCCAACTAGCCAGGTTATGACGGCATGTTTGGGGGATCCAAGGCTCAAAGACAGAGGAAATTAGGTTTTACTAAATATCAGTGAAAAGAATGAAAAGTTGCAACTCATGTGTCATGTTTGCAGAAGGAGCACAGAGGCAAGACAAAGGGAAAGAGAGGCGGAAAAGGGAAAAGAAAATACTGTCAGTTGTTCTAAAAGTGCACATTCCGCGTAATGTAGAGACTCAACGCAAGGCGCTCCAGCCTGGACATGTTACACCTCGATCGTGCGTTACCGTGTAGGAACCTTGTGGGCGATTTTCAGATCACTTTTACACTGGGTGGGGACGAGAGTGCTTGCTAATGTGCTTTGAGGCCACATCAGTTGCGGTGTCGTATGACTCGTATCACTTGGTATTTACACACATTTTACTGTTTGACTCATGGTTTTTCAAGAGATTACTTTCTCTATGCAAGAATGCTTGGGCGAGATAAAGGATCTTAGAGATGCTTGCAGGATACAGAAAGAGCTTGGGTTTAACTGGTATTTCAACCACCAATATCACGTGGATGAGCAATATCGGTTGTATTATGTCGCTAGTAGCTTTTGTTTTGTATCCCAGCCTCAAAGAGCTAACTATTGTCGCACATGGAGTTTCTTATCCAATAAGATTACTATTGATAATAGTGCAGAACAGATTTTATTCGTTCTAAAGCCAAAAAGGTGTAAAAAGTCTTAAAATCGCCCAATTACGAAGTGAGAAAAGGTTCACGTTTTTCAATATCAAGTCTTGAACCATTGTATATATCCGTCTAAACTGTTTATTGTTAAATCCTTACAGCCTTTATAGTATGTAATTGGTTTTTGTGACAAGGTTAGCGCAGACTATGTTGAATGAACGATCTAGGTGAGCATTCGTTGAATCAACGCCTCAGTCTCAGTGGTTTGTTCTCACTGCGCACAGTTTGTTTTGGGACAGGTGTTTGACTGTTAACCCCCTACCTAGAGATCATACTCATTGAGGTGCTAAATTAATTCAAGGAGTATAACATATTCGTGTACATTTTAACTGATAGAATATACTCACCCTTGTAAGAAACACAGTTTTCTTTGAATAAATCAGGAAAATGTTTTGTTTTTACTACTAACGATTCTCAACCTAATTGTAAATACATGTGCCAACCTGCACTTTCGCCTTCTGAGATAAACCTTTTTAAATATCACTAGTTGTGTAAATTCAACATTTAAAATCAGTGTCGTGTTTTATCCACGGATACTTTGTTGTACCTCTATACTTATTTTATGCTGTTGAAAAGAGTTCTGGTTTAATCTTTAATGAACTCAAATATTTTATTTTGGACGGTAGGAATAAGTGTTTTTTTTTAGTTTAACATAGATAGCTAGGAAGTTTTAGCACTTATTTTTAAGGTCTCTCTATGAAATGATTTCTACCCGTTATATTGTCTCGGTTTCATAATAATCGGAAAGAATGATTTTAAGAAGTAGAAACGATGCAGAACAAAAATAGCATGGATGGATAAATATGTATTTTTTTCAATACACTGCAAACAATAATTGAGTGGTAAAGTGTATTTAATTTCTGCAAACAACATGAAAAACCTTGAGATGTATTTTATTATTAGTATTTATGAAATATTGAAAAATTCATCAAAAGTTACCTTATGATACTTCCGTACTATTTTACAACTGAGATATTTTTTAGACCTTTTTATCATTATGCACATTATTACTATTTATTTGAAGTAGAAGCACAAGAACAACCTTTGCACAAATTGTATAAAATAATTTCATTTATTGCTGCAATTTGTCTTACATATTTGCTTAGGTTAGGCTTTAGATATCTAAGCATTCTTTGTACACTTCTGTAAAATATTATTGATAAACTAAAAATTCTTTAAGATATGCTACATTATAGATATTGTTTTAGGTGTTAAAATAGTTTCAGTATCAATGTTGCATAATTAATTGAAAAAGTCTTGCACAAGTTTTCCCAGTCAAAGATTGTTTAAAATGCTGATTTGACTGCTGATGTTAAGGGTTTCACCTAAATCCTTGAACTAATAATAATTGGCTCGATTTCTAAAAATTTTTTAAATTTGAATAACCGATCAACAATTATTCTCTATGAGGAATCTGACTGAAAACTATGCAATATTATATTTTTGCAAAAAATAAGTATTTATAAACCCAAGATTATGTTTGAAAAGTTAGAACATTCATACCGGTACTTGAGATTTGTGACTTTGTATCATATTTTTTACTTGTAAGTGCATACATTATTATTCCACCACACTAAAATAAACACCCAAGTCATCAAATTTACAGGGAAATTATTTGAAACTATAAATACATCAGTTGCACTTATTAAACGCACATTGTCTTTTGCATGTAATTCATAAGATGTAAATTTAGATTAAAAATTCCTTAATACAGTTCTAAATGGAGTTGAAGATTTTAATACGTTCAGTTTGCCTAGTTACTTTTGATTATAGTGTATGTTGAATGTATAAATCTGGGAATCACAGTTTTCACAAGTTTTTATCGCTAAGAACCCCTCCAAAAGTCTGGTCAAACCTCATTTGATTTTGTAGGGTGTCTTGGTCAACTGTTTCAAGTCTTTCATATTGTGAGATCTCAGAAATGTCAGTAATTTTATATTTTCTTACTGTGAATAAGAAATTGTGTATATAAAACTCGATAGTTAAGAGTGAAGCATGAGCTTCACTTTACGTAGGTCTAGTTAATGTTAGTTACGTTCTGTTCTAACCTGACGGAAAGTGAAAATATGTAAATAAATTTACCACCCAGGAAATAGAGTGTAAGTTTCTCGAACGTGGGCACCTTTGAATGGATTGTCAGTTGAACAAAAAATTCATTTTGAGTGTGTTGATGGTATTGCTAGCATTTACATTACTATGGTTGATTAATGATTAGTAAATTGTTATTGTTAGCGCAATCAGCGATGAATCAATCTTGTAAACTCATTCCCAGCTATAATTTGGTGTCCTATGTGTATTGGAGTGATTTTTAACTTTTAAGTGATTGGGGCTGGTTTTGAATACAATAAATATCACCTAAATTTATATTCAAGTTGATTACTTAAGAAATGCTACATCAATACTTGGTAACTCTTCTTGATTGATTTGTGCCTGTTAGAGTGTTAGTTGTAAGTCGACTTAAATATGTGTGTTGGATTTTAAATCACCATTAAATAGTTTTATTTTTATAGTTGATTACAAGTGAAATTTTACATAAATTGTATAAGGGTATAGAAATTTGTTGAACTTTTAAGTTCACTTGTCTAAAGTGTGTGAATTTTGTAAAATTAACTTGGACCGGTTTGACACAGCTATGATACGTTTCTGTTTTCAATCTTTGCCATGATTCACGAGTCCTTTACGAAACACCTGTCCCAAGCATATGTGGGAAAGACTCAGTAAAAACTGTTCAAATGTCCTCATAGATTTCCCATCTTGATTCTATTTTCTGTTGTATTATTATATAGATTTTGATTTATTACTGATATTTTATTTGTAATATTATATACAGTTTAGCTTCTATATAAATACTCTCTTATTTTATATTCAGCCTCATTTATCATTCCTAGTTTCCCTCGAATAAATCTACTTAGTCAAGTTTCAGCAAGCCAACAAATACTGCTACATCCTAGCAGCTGTTTTGTCAACCCTTGCTCCAAGTCTGATGAATCTGACTTGAGCAAACTATCCAAGTAATTCAGCAAACACCGCTGAAAGATGTGCTTGACATGGAGTCAAGAGTTGACCAGTGTTGTTAGCTTGATAGATAGACTGACAATGTGACGTTTGAATTGAAGCTAGCAGTTGTGGCAGACTAAAATGTAGAATGAGTTCAGTTGCGACTTCCTACTCAGTCACCTAAGTGGCATCCCCATCTCAATGATTGATTGATTGATATTCCTTGATCTCCAGCAAGATTGAGTGTTTGATTCCCATCTCTGTCTGTTCGGGAGTTCAGTTGGCCTTCCTGAACTCCCAGACGGTCAGTTTTAACTTAAGACTGACAAATAAAACTGACCGTCTGTATGCAAGATTTGGCCTGACAAAATTTTGTTAAATCAAACAGACCGATAAATCAGCAGGCCGAACTTACTGTCTGTATGTCCGCCTCAGTTCAGCCTCCAGCCCGGGGCAAAGCAGTAACTAGAAGTCAGAATTTAGTGAAACCGGGGGGGGGGGGTTCCGTTCCGCGGTTGGGATACTCCGTAATCATGTAATCCCAAACATGAATGAAGGTGATCTTGTTTGTCATTTACCATGTGAGGTCAGGCATTTACATTGTTATCGTACATTTGAGGTTAGGTTTCCAGTTTCTGTAGGTTTTAAGTTTTGGCAAACAAACCTTGTTGGAGACCACACCTCACATACCAGGTCGCAGCATATTTTTTAACTAGGATATTGCATTGCTTGTAGATTTCCTTTGAGGGGGTGTACACTTCTGTGTTATCACTTATCAGCGAGCTCAGGCATGAATAATTCTTTCTTTCTTCCTTGAAAACTCCAAATAATATACAACTATTTCTTGGAAAGTCAATTTTTATTGACAGTCATAAGTGAACTTTTGGGTTCTTAATGAATCTTGGCTGAAGATATTTTCTGCATGATATTTGATTAGTCTTTGTATGTACATACAGTACCACATGAAGATAAAGGATTTGATAAAGTAGTTCTTAAACATTACCAAATTTTTAGGTATTATATTATTAACCTCTGCCAAAAGTTCGCAACAAAGGAAATTAAAGGAAAGCACAGTTTATAAACAATAGTTTATTACAGTCAGTCTTAACCGTATAATTGTGACCTGGAATGTATAAAAGAAAACCTGTTGCTTATAATTAATTGGGCTATTGGAGAACCAAAAATAATATCTGAGCTAAAACTAGTATTCAAAAACCGCGTTAAAAATAAAATTATTGAATTTAAAATTCTATAAAAGCATTAAATCTACTGTCATTTATGAGTTGCAGAATTAACCATTTAACATAATTGTGCTCTTTTAGACCATAAATGAAATATAAAATTTAATGGAATTTGAACATCAAGAAAGATATTACAGAACCAAAATGACTCACTGTTTAACCTAATTAACTTATAATATCTACTGTGATCCAAGTTGTACACCTATTTTTCAAATAGAAAGTTCACACTAATTTAAAAATTCACATACAACACTTAGATTTGTTACCATCTCTAATTTTACGTTTCTCTTCAAATCTTAACTTAATTTGATCTAAAAAGAAGTTGAAGAACACACTGTTGAATTCGTAAATGCTCATTATGGTGCGACACTATACCATAACCTTAATCACAGTTCATCATGAGGGATGGGTTCTAACGGCTGTTCAGCTCGGCAGGCCGCAGGAGTCGTAAATGTGAGTCGGTATTCACAGCGGTTAGGTTCTGACGCTGTCGTTACTGCACTCTCCAGCCCACAGATTACGTCCACCTGGTAAGTCATACAGGTATTACAACCACAACTGTACAGTAAAAGGAACACATCTCATCATTCTCAATTGACATTATCAAGCTAGACAACTCGTTCTCTTTCTAAAAAGTTCATTGAGCAAATATAATGTATAATGTAAATATAATGATAAAAAATATAATGCTTAAATATAATGTATTGTACTTGCTTCGGCAGTACATATACTAAAATTCATATAGGCTTTTAGGGTAAAAGATTTGTTTGATTTTTACATTGTAACAGTAACATTACGTTTACTCAGTTTGAAAATAATTTGGACATAACACATAATTTTTTACACTACTTAGGAGGGTTCATTTAGTTCAATTTAGCCATAGAAACAGCCCTTCAGGAGATAAGAAAGACAGAAGTAGGGATTAAGATAGGAACAAACATAAACTTGCTAGCTTTTGCAGATGACATAGTATTAATTACACATAATATAGAAGAAATGAAAGATGTAACAAAAATGCTTATTGAACATAGCCTACAAGAAAAATGGGGCTATACATAAATGAAGAGAAAACCAAGTTTATGACATGTGGAAGAAAACAAGATGATGACCAACCAAGATACCAAAATAACAACTAGGCCTACATTGAAATTGAAGAGTATAAATTTAAAAAAGTAACAAATTTCAAGTATTTGGGAGTCATCCTCACCAGTGATAATGATGAAGAGCTAGAAATTCAAAATAGATTAAACCTAGCACAAAAAAGTTTTTCGGCCTGTCACAAGTTACTAACTTCAAAAATAAATATAGGATGGAGAGGACACAGCTAACTCACCTGATGAAAGGTTGCAGATGAGTCAAAGAACACATAAAATCACACACATAATTTACTTAATATTTCGCCTCTTTCAGAGGCTTCTTCAGAAGTAGGCCTAGATGGTAGTTACAAAACAACAGTTTAAATAGGATGACACAGTTTGAATTCAAAATGTCTGACAGGTTGTCCAACTGACACTGCACAAAGCACTAAATACAGGCACATTGCAATATTGTATTTACATATAATATGTACATTGAAAAGCAAATTAGTTTTGTCCATGAAAATAAATACTTAAGAGTTAGCTGTGAGGGTGAGGATATGAGGATATTATCTAATGTTGAGGTTAGGTGGGGTTCTGGAGTTGGTCACAAACTGGTAAGCTAATTCCCATCTTCTGAGCATTGAACTATTGCATTGGTTCTTTGGCAATGATTTTAGAGCTTTTATGGTGAAACAGTCATCAAATAGAAGTTGGTGGGATAAGGCATGTTGTGCAACTGGTTTTTCTTTGCTAGTTTTAACATCATGTCGATGGCCGTTCATGCGTTTTCGGAGCTAAATGCTTTTTCCTAAAAACATAACTTCAAAAATAATATCCCACACCACCAAACTCAGGATTTATAAGACAATCATTAGACCAGTTCTCCTGTATGGTTCAGAAAATTGGATCTTAAGCAAGAAATCAGAAAGGAAAGCTATTGTATTTGAGAACAAGATTTTGAGGAAAGTATAGGACCGATTTTTGAGGATGGACAATGGAGATCGAGACATAATTGGGAACTTAGAGAATTATTTAAGGATCCGGATATTGTCGCTGAGGTACGGAGCAGAAGACTGAGATGGGCAGGGCATATTCTAAGAAAAGATGACAACTCCCTATCAAAGAACATCTTGAGGAATAACCCAGAAGGTAGAAGACCCCTTGGAAGACCGAAACTTAGATGGTTCGACCAAGTGGAGAAAGACCTGAGGAAGCTAGGGAGAAGGAAGGAAGATGCAAGAAGCAGAGACCTATGGAGACTGTGTGTTGGGGAGACCAAGTACCATCTAGGGTACCAGTGGCCACAGCAGTAAAGTAAAGTAAGTAAAGTATTTAGGAGGGTTCCTTCCACCCGCCGGCTGCTATCACGTTAACATGGTCCTACAAAAAAGAACCTCGTTGCAAGTGTTTATTGAGTTGAAATAAACTGTAAAATATCCATAAAGATCCAAACTATACACTGGATGAACTGAAACTTCGTAATTGTTTCTTTAAGTATTTACAAAATGATTTTGAAAATCCGTAAATTAGTAAGTAGATGGAGTAACTCTCCTTCAGAAGTGGTGTTATACAAAAAAGATTCTCTAGGCCTATCAAATGTCTAGGATTCAATTCAGTAAAGTCAAAAATGTTAACTTTCCGTCAATTTATCCCAAAGCTTAATACCAAAAATCAACTCAGATCAGTTTATAGCTGGTGAGGAATATCGCACATTCTATGATAGACGAGTTACTCACATATGTGGAGCGCTGAGGCCCGTTCCAACATGACTGGCCCTGGTCGTACATCATAGCGGAGTATTTGTCACCTGCTCCAGCCCAGCCACTCCACGAGCCTAGTCTCGTCTCAGCTCCTCCTGACCTAGGCTTCTGACTCACCTGCCAAAGTAAACAAATCTCTAAACATTCAATGTCTGGAGTAGTTACAGGAGTTGTCTTAATTGTGGCAGCTGCTTCAATTCTGGTTTTTAATTTAGGAGTATCAGCTGAAGCTCAGACTTCTATAAACCTCCAAATGTAGGAATTACTTAGCGTCAAATTTGGCGGACATGGAGGTCATAACAATCTGCCATTGAGCCTTTTGCAGAAAATGGCCTGTACGGAAATCATGTACATATTCAATTAATCACATGAGGGCCTAGGCTTTAAGGAATCGTGTTGGGGTGGCATACTTACCAGGACGGGATGAAGATACTGGAACAAGAATGATAAAAACTTCTTGGGTAGTGTCTAGATAACATGTTTATTTTTCCAGATTCCATTATTTCACAGGGGTCAATAATCACTTTAAATCAGTAATGTCTTTATGGTGCCTTGCACCAAGGCCACACTAAAAAAACAGGCCGTAATGCTCGTCAATCATGACGTCACGATAGAAAACGGCAATGACGTAATTAAGGTTATATTTTTGTTTTCCATGAAAAGATTAAAACAAGCAGCTGATCACAAACGGCAAAAATACGTCATTGCCGTCTTCTATCGTGACGTCATGCTAGACGAGCATTACGGCCTGATTTTTAGTGTGGCCTTGCTTGCACCGACAAACA